GGAACGACGAACATGCTCTCGTTACTTAGATTGCGATAGTTTTTAATACCTATGTAATTTTATTGTTGCATATTTTTATTAATTAGTTGATAATGAATTTTATAATTATGTATTACAATAAAACGCTGTTTTTATAAGTATAACTTTATAAAATATTATTGGAGAGAAAAATAAAGATACAGATACTTATATTTAGGTACACTGTTATCAAATTAAATTAAACAATTTAAATAAATAAAAGAATGGTGCTTACCTAAGTATAAATAACTATATAAAGACATTCTTGGGTTTATGGTTTTTTTTTGTTAGACAAACTATTATCTAAAAAATGTAAAATTTTTAAATTGGAGAGGGGTTTCTCTACGTGATAAAGTTAGAAATGAAGGAATTTGCATTAGAACCAGAGTAACTGACATAGCTCAACGGAATATTACAGTGAAATGGCAATGGGCTAGCTATATAACTTGGAAAATATATAAAAAATAGGAAGAAAGGTCCTCGAGTGGCAACCTCGTACAGGTAAGCGAATTAGTACTCGACCTTTATTCCTTTTCACGTATTCTCATACGCTTTTCTTCACACATACACACACACACACACACACACACACACGCACACGCGCGCAAGCACGCACGCGCACACACACACACAAACACACACAAATAGGTCGCAAATATTACTTACCTAGTACTATTAGGCAAGAGTGAATAGGTTTTTGTTAAGTCAGTGCAATTCACCATCTTAGACTACATAACCACTTACCGATGGGATTGTAGTTGCTTTACTACTGGCTGGGTAAAAATAGTAAAAAAAAATTTACCCTGTGAAAGTTTGCATTTAGATATAGTTTTTCTAACCAACCATAAAAATATGATGAGAATATGTATATAAGTATAAAGGTTACCTCACACGGAATAGTAATAATATAATATTATATCTTCCATTATCTCTGAAATCCGAGGTATGTTCATATTAAGAGGCTGAATAGAGCCACATTGAAATGCATGGGGATGGTTTTGTAATTTCACGTCATTATCGAAAAAAAATTGTACGTATTTCAGGTGGCGGTTTGCAAAACACGATTCCACAAAAATTAACTCAATAGAAAATAATTGCAAAGTTGCTTCTAAAAATACATAAATTTTCAACGTCAATTTTATTTACGTGGTAGAGCCATGCTACAGCTATATTTATTAGGTATAGTTGTAGCACGAATGGGTCGGCTCGACCGGGGAAGGGCCACGCTCTCACGGAATAACATGTAAAATAGCAGTTTAACCCTGCTGTGTTTCGTATGTTGAGTGTAGATAACCGGAGGACCTTTTTACTGGAAACGAGGAATTACATCTTAGTCCTCAAGGGTGACAACGAATCTACATTTTGATACGTAATCGAGGATAGATGTAGATGTGTATGAGCCGTAGCAACCACTTACCATCAGGTGGACTGTGTGCTCGTTTGTCACCCTTATTCTATTAAAAAAAACTTTCTGAGATTTCAGTAAAATAATGTTAAGTATTGTAAGCACTCGTACAATTATGTCTCATGTTAATAAAGCTATTGGGCTATTTTGATTTGTAATAAAGTGATTTTACTTTATAGGTTAAATAATTTATTTACCTTTCTATATCAAGAACCGTTTTTCTGTCACTCCTATTGAATTTGACAGTGCTTGCTGAAATTTAGCATCTTTAGATGGATCAGAATCGCCCGCAGATCCGGCTGTTAGATATTGCAAAAATAATCGAAAATATTTATTTTTACTTTCATGCCCAAGACTACCTTGTTTTATTTTATTACGGTCAAATAATATTTATAAGGTTATAAAGCAAGTATTTTTGTAAATGTTTTGTATGTAAATGTAAATGTTTTCATTATTTTGTTATTCTATTGTTTACAGTTATTATCACGTCTTAGCTTTATACCAAGAAGAATTACATTACAAATTCTTGATGGGATGCGATGTAACGCGCATACATTATTTTCATCAAGAACTATAATATATATATATATATATATATATATATATATATATATATATATATATATATTGTTTTTTTTTACCAGTAGAGTTTTAACAAAATCTTTAAAAAGTTCAATAAATTAAAAAAATGCCAATAATTATATAATTTCAAGTCAGTGTTTTACATTTAAAGATCAGTTATAAAAAGCCATTGTTATTATTTTCATTTTGATTAATTTAATTCGAGACTAAAATAAATGTGAAAGGGCTTTTATCTGCAATAATAATTTTCATCAAAAATAACATAGACTTATAAAAGTCATATACACGGTCAATCATACTGAAGATTATCAATTGTACTACAAAATATTTAAAAGAATATTTCCAGTATAATGACCCGAATATCATAATTAATGTTTGACTGGCACACTTAAAAGTTTTATCACATGGCTAAATGATTGACTTTTATATTATGATAAGGTCATGCTTTTCTATAAAAAGTTGCAAGAAATTTTAAATCACGGCCCTATTGGTTTGTTTTACTTTTTACTTAATTAGTGAAATAAAAATGGACTGATCTAAAAGTTTACTTTCTTGTGTAAAAAGTGCTATTTAGAATTTTATGCAAATGATAATTAAAGTTTCTATGTAAATAAGTGTAACATAGCGGGAATTATATTCAATGGTAGCGGCCATCCGTATTTGCAAAGCCAGCATCATTTTCTGTACAGAAACCGGCAAAGTGTTGCTCAAGGCACTATAAACAAAGCAGCTGATAAAATGTTACACTCATAACTGTTAACAAAAACTGTTTTCCCAAATGGTCTTATAGATAATAATAACTATTCCGCCGTGTTAGGTGCAGGAGCTATTATTAGAAGGAGAAGAGGTAAAATTTTGTTTTAGAAATGCGCAATCAATATTGTTTTGTCTGCAATTGAGCATAAAATAAAAAATAACTTCGGCCAAAGAGCATAACTGGTTTTATACTCAGGCCCATCAATTAGTATGGAAAAAAGTAATTTTACCAGGTTTCAAAATATCAATCAAAATTCAAAAAACATAAATATTAAAATCAAAAATGAATATATGTATGTCTATACATACATATAATGATTTATGGCCGCTTAGTAACTGACGGTGACTCACTATAACATCCTACAGTCACGCCGAAACTAAGAGGAGAGAATCACTGTAGAAAAGGTAATAATTTATTGCGGAAAATTTGTGATAAAATTAAAAAAAATATAAACTTATCCAAGTTAATCTAACTTAGTCTAATTTATCCTTATGCGTACAAAAAAAAACAAATAATAAAATAGTGAGATGGCGTCAGTTTTTAAGAAGATATAACAAAAATAAATAAAAAAATAAATTTCAATAAAGTTCAGTATTTAATTGATTATATACCGCTGACACTTAATCACGCTTTTCGAAACCACGCCAGTTGTAAACAATACTTGTGTGGAAAGACAAAATCTTCTTTTCAAATTTCCGCCGAGTTGTAAGTTGAAGGCCAAATAGGTCACGTGTCAATTTTAATTAAATATATTTTATATGAAGTGATCTTGACTACGTTTCATTAATTAACCATTGGTAAAAATTAAAACAGGAATTTTACGATTGTGTTTACAAAAAACATTATTAGTTGAACCTTGCAGCTTGTTCATTATTTTTATTATAAATACCTATAAATGTATATATTATTAATAAATAGTTCCCATAATATATTGGATTATTTTTTATTTTGCCCTATCTGCAATGTTCTACGCTCTATAGAAAATGTGGCGTATGACATGACTGACAATCTTTCGAACGTTTTATCTAGGTACAAAGATGTTTTACGTTTTTGTCGCCTCCACATGATATTTTTGTCAGCATAAGGTACCCTTCTATATCTGAAACGAATATAAATATTGCTACAAAGTAAAGTAATAGGCTATACAAGTCCCTGTACTGGGCACAGGACTCTTTTTATATTTCTGAGAGGGTTTTAGGGCAAGGAAATGCCCGCCGTGCTTCCCCAATGCGTGTTGACGAAAATTGCAATTACAAATTTCATTCGTGCTGTCGGGGATCAAACCCGGGAAAATTTACAGCGAACGCTTTGACGACATATTTTTAATACGACACAAATAAATACGATTTAATATATATAATAAAAATTCTTACGTACTTGAAACTTGAAAACTTGATAGCTCGTGATGCCTACCGGACAAAGCTACAGCACCACACCGTGCAATGTAATTGAAGATGCCTAACCGCGACATAATTCTCAGTGATGCGCAAGCATAACAGGCAGTATGTCACTTATATAATTGTCATCTCTGCAGTCTATTAATCTTTGCACTTTTATAAGTAATACAGAACGTAGTTGCTAGACGGTGTTGACATCGGCTAAAATCTCTGCGATTGCCGTTTTGTCAAGGTCATTCAGGCTAGTTAAAGCCTTAAACGGATGGGCCGGCTCGAACCGGGGTGGTACCGCGACCTCACAGAAAACCAGCGTGAAGTAGAAGTTTACCTCTGCGTTTCGCTTGGTGAGTGCAGGTGGCCGGAGGCCCTTTTTACTGGAAATGAGGCATTCCATCTTAATTCTCACGGGTGACAACGCATCTACATTTTGATTTGTAACAGAGGATAGATGTAGATGTCTATGGGCCGCAGCAACCACTTACCATCAGATGGACTGTGTGCTCGTTTGTCACCCTTATCCTATAAAAAATAAATAAAAAATAAGCGTTTACGACTATCTGAATGCTCTGATATTCTCAGTGACGCTTTAGTAAGAACAGACGCTGGTGATTTTGATTTGAAATCTACAAGATTAAAAGGACTGCAAACTCCTGAAAAAGAGGATGAGGCCGTGAATAAAGAATATGTGGATAAATGTGTCCAAGAACATAAAAATGAAATGAAAACAATTCAGGATAATAATTCCTTAACAATTTATAAAAATTGACTACTATCAATTTCAAGACAATGTATTACATTCAAAAGGAAATCGACCTCATGATTGCATCAAAACCTGCCCAAAATGAGTAAACAAGATATAGTCAGTGAGCTTCACAAAGCAGCAAGAAGAAATTTTTCTGGTCAACATACGATTATTAAAGGAATAGATGATTTATGGCAATTGTTGATGATTGATTTTCAAAAATATTCCACGTTTAATATAGAATATAAATATGTTCTAGTAGTAATCGATGCTCTATCAAAATACGTATGGGTTAGACCGTTGAAAACAAAACATAAAAATTTTGTCAAAAATGCGATGCAAAGTTTATTATCTGAATCAAGACGAAAACCTAAAAATTTACAAACAGATCTTGGTACAGAGTTTTATAATGATTCTTTTAAGAATTTAATGAAAAATTATAATATAAATCATTATTCCACGTACTCCGTTAAAAAGGCCTCCATTGTAGAACGAGTAATAAGAACTTTAAAAACTCACCTTTACAAAATGTTCAGTCAATGCGGACGATATCAATGGTTCAAAAATAGTTTAGATTTTGTTGTAAAGCGGTATAATAATACATTACATCGCATTACAAAATTCAAGCCTATTAACGTTAATGAATCAAATGCGACTTTAGTTATGTCAAACATCAAGAAGTCTCAAAAGCATAAGATACGTCAAGGACCTTTCACGCTGGAGATTACGTTGGTATAAGCAAATACAAAGAAGATTTTTAAAAAGGTTATACCCCTAATTGGTCTACAGAAATATTTCGTATCGTTAAAGTCAACCAAACCAATCCTCAAACCTATCAAATAGAAGACAAACACAATCAAATATTCTAGGCTCTTTTTACGGTTACGAATTACAAAAAACTAAATTTCCAGACCTTTATCTTATTGAAAAAGTCATAAAAAGAAAAAGAAATAAGCTTTTAGTAAAATATTTAGGTTTGAGTGATGAAGAAAATAGTTGGGTGGATAAACGTGAATTACTGGTTTGGATATATAAATAACGTATTATTACTTAATAATCTCATTTTATACTTATCGATGAAGAAAGGCAGTGGTATAATTAATAAAGTAATAGACAATTTACCGTTTGAGCTACATTTACCCGGCTATCAATTTTGCGGCCCCGGAACTAAACTTCAAAAACGGTTACTCAAAGGCGATCGTGGGATAAACAAATTGGATATTTCTTACACTAACAAAGATTCGGGCGCTGTACAAAAAGCGGATTTGGAACTTCTGAAAATGGCTTTGGGGAGATTGAAATCAGAAGATGCTAGGAAAGGAGAAAAAATTGCCTCATGCATAGTCAAAAATGCAATGAAAGCGAAAATCCGGGCGGGGAGCGGTATAAAAGCATTTAAGAAGGGAATAAAAAAATAAAGTCTCAGTTGAAAAAACTAAAATCCAAAAACAGTCACTCGGCTACAGAATATGCCCATGCAGCTGCAAAGAAAATATTTAGTAATAAAAAAGGAATAAGTTTACCCCGTTGTATTCCCCTTTCAAAGTGTGGAGGATTTTTACCACTTATTCCCATATTTGCAGGATTGTCAGATTTAGGATCATTAGCCGGTGGAGCAGCAGGTATAGCAAAACAACAGAATGATTGAAGCCGTTGCTCTAGGAAAAGGATTATATATTAAACCTCATAAACAAGGAGCAGTATTATATCTTAACCCTTCAAAAAACTAATTAAACGGCTACCCAGACGAGCGCTCACTAATCTCGACATATTAGAACATGCAAGTGACATTCCATACTTTCGCGGCGTTTTCATGAGAAATAATTTACCTTTGAAACCGAGAAAGATAGACTGTGGAAAACTGAATTTGGATAGCTACAGAAATCCTGGAACGCATTGGGTATCCTTTGTAAAGCACAATAAATACGTAAAATATTATGATACTTTTGGTAATTTAAAGCCCCCGTTAGAATTAGTTAAATATATGTATAACTTACCTATTAACTATAATTATGCGCGACATCAAGGGCTTGGTGCTACAAACTGTGGACATCTTTGTCTAAAATTTTTAAGGAATTACTGGAAAAAGCATTTATTTAGTGTATGAAATAAATAAACGTATCAGTATAAAAATGTCTTTCACTATGTCTATAACTGGGACAAGAGCCTCTTTATCAACGAATTATTCACCGACAATAGAACTACGAAGAGAATAAGAATGTGGTCTTTTGTATTTTTCAATTTTCTCTTCTATTCCCAATATAAATGAAAGAAACAATAAATTTTATTATGGTGAAAAAGAAATGATCGAAATTCCTGAAGGGTCTTACGAGCTTCTAGATATTTGTGATTATCTAAAAAATAATATTAAGAACGCTGTACAAAAACTAACTTATAACAATAATACATTGAAAACAAATATTTTTTTGCTCTGAAGATGTGCACTTTAATAGAAGCGAATCACTGAGTAAACTTTTAGGCTTTGGTATGGAAACAATAAAAGCAAATAAAGTACTGAATCAAAGTATCAGTAGTAGTAGACAACCATCGTGCGGATTGAATGCGATGTAGTTAGTGGTTCATTTGTCAACGGGAAAGCAAGCCATATAATTTTTGAATTTGCAACTAATGTACTACCTGGTTATCGAATAATTGAAATACCCAGAAACTTGATTTATTTTCCTGTTAACTAAAGTTCCATAAGTGCTATCAATATAAAGTTATTGAACGCTGAGAATAAAGAGATAAATTTACGAGGTGAAGAAGTACAACTGTATTTACATTTCCGAAAAAAAAAATATGATAAATTTCAATCAAAGCCCGTCTACTTCGTGTATCGAAGCCAGTTTTAAAAGAAGATCTCATAAAAGCACACCTCGTCAGCTAAAAAAGAAGCTTACCAAGTCTAACAAAGAATTTCTTAAGCTAGTTGCCTTGATAAAATGAATATTTTAAACGTATCTCAATAAACATCATACGATAACAGCAATGAAAGTTTTGAGTATCATTCATACAAACCATATGTAACTATTTTTAACAAGAATGACGAAATACGTACTCCTATTAATCAACAAGACCTGTACGTACTACCTTCACTCAGTAGTTTATATATCGAGGGAAAGCGGAATGTTTATAACAGCATCACAACAGAAAAGGTATCAAACATACATTTTGTCAATAATCCCGTGCTATTTCTTTTTCAAGACATACGATATGAACTTAATGGAGTAGAAATAGATAAAATTAAGAATGCTGGTGTCACTACTACAATAAAATCTTATCTATCCTTAAATGAAAATGAATCCAAATGTGCTCGAGTTTGGGGCTGGTCAAATGCGATCAAGTTAAATACAGGTGAAGTTGTAGAAGATATTATAATAAATAAAATTGTTTGGCGAGTTCCATACTTCAAATTATCAGATCCTGAAAGAATCAGCCTATTAAAACATTTAGAGAAAGATAGAGCTATTCCATTGGCATTCCGTTCCTGGGACTTATATGAACATCCATTGCTACCCAAAACACGTAAACATACTTGGTCTATAAAAACTTCATCGCAAATAGAGAAACCACGATTTGTGGTCATTGCCTTGGAAAGCAACCGCAAACATAACGCGAAATTATCAATGATAAATAGTTTGATCATTGTCACGTACGAGATGTAAGTCTTTTTAAATTCATCATATTATCCTTATGAGGGGCTGAATATCAGTTTTTCACAAGATAAGTTTACTTTATTATACGAGCAGTATGCGAGATTTCAACAGTCGTATCATGGACGCTGGGCAGAGCCGTTGATGGGTTTAAAGGAGTTCACGAGACGTGGCTCCATTATTTGTAATTGATTGTTCAAGACAACATGAAACTTTAAAAGTTTCGATCGATGTGAGAATTGAAATCGAGACAGACCAAGAAATACCAGATCAGACAACCGTTTATTGCTTGATATTAAACGACTGTATATTCGAATACAAACCACTGAGTAATATCGTTAAGAAAATATCATGAATAGCAACACAATAATCGTCGATCTTGAAGGCTTCAAAAATAGCAAAAATAAATTTATAATAAAGGAGTTTGCTATAGCCACTCTAGAGTACGCCAATATATTCCTAATTAAACCTCCTTACCCATTCACTTCACTATCTCCTGAAGAGAAAAAACAAATCGGCTGGATTGAAAAGCACAGAGGGTATCGATGGAGTGAGGGCTTTGTTGATTATAGAGAGTTTCACAGAATTACAAAGACATATTTGAAAGATAAAAAGATTTTTTAAAAGGATGTGAAAAAATTAAATGGGTGCAAGATATTTGTGATGAAAATAATACTATCATAGATATAATTTGCTTAGGAGCTCCCAATTTAAATACTCTTTGTGAACTTTGTTGTAAAGATACTTTACTGTATAACTGTTTTACTCATAAGAAAATATGTGCGTTGAAAAATGTTTAATGTATTAAGAAATGGTGTTTTGAAAACAAAATGATTGTGTGATTTCTAATAAAATGTATGTAAATAAACATTTCATCTTTTAATTTAAACTACCTTTGTGTTCGAGAAGAAGAAAAAAAAAATAGTTTCAGACCGTTAACGATTAGTACTTATTATTAAAGTAACTGTATTTTTTTTTGTACTACCTTGCATTTTTAACGATGAAATAGATTAGCCTTCATATTTTGTTGTTATATTATTGAACCATTTGTATTTGAGATTCCGAATGAAACGGTGTTAGAAATGGAGCAAAGATAAAAAAGCGGATCGAGAATTAGACTAAAAATTTAGACCTCTAATGGCCTTCAGCGGCATGTAGCTAGAGCGAAGCGAGAGCAATTGACGCAGAAGCCCCAATTCACACCTTCTAATTGGCAGTTTAATTTTATTTTGTTTAGTTATAATTAATTTTTTTCATCTAAGAAATGGCAAAATTTTTGATAGTTTAAGAGGCTTGTATGAATTTATTTTACTAAATAGGCCACGGAGTACTTTATTTACTCCGGGCTCAAATGCCGTCGTTAGTGGTCGTTCGTTACAGCGGCTCGTGCAGATATACCTATATATATATATATATATATATATATATATATATATATATATAGATCGATCGCCGTAGAAATACAAAATATTCCAAAAGCCAAATTTGATACATACTTGTCCTAGGTAAGATATTATGATTATTTTTATAATCATAGATTTTTATTACAATATTTTGTTTCGCTAAAAGCACGCAGGATTTATATATAAATATAATTATACGTCTTGGACTTTATAGACCTGAAGGTGTGTCGGTATCTGCTACTGGAACTCCTCGAAGGGGAGAAATAGATGTGCCGAGTTTGGGCTCGTTTTGTTAGTTATGATGAGACCTTACCTCCGGATATGATGAAAGTATACTTTGATGACTGCTACTGGAACTCCTCGACGAGGAGAACTAGATGTGTCGAGTTAGGACTCGTTTTGTTAGTTATGATGAGACCTTACCTCCGGGTTTGATGAAAGTGTACTTTGATGACTGCTACTGGAACTCCTCGACGAGAAGAACTAGATGTGCCGAGTTTGGGCTCATTTTGTTAGTTATGATGAGACCTTACCTCCGGATTTGATGAAAGTGTACTTTGATGACTGCTACTGGAACTCCTCGACGAGGAGAACTAGATGTGTCGAGTTAGGCCTCGTATTGTTAGTTATGATGAGACCTTACCTCCGGGTTTGATGAAAGTGTACTTTGATGACAGCTACT